TTCTCAATCCTCACATTTAAATAAGCCAGTGTAAAAGCTGAAAGCATGCTTACAAATAGTAGTATGAGATACCACCTGCCCAGAATCATACTTCAATCTGTGAATAAATATTTTTGACCATTTTTACACAAGAGGGAGAGATCAGAAAAAAAGCATTAAAAACTTAAAGTTATGTTTAAAACGTCATTAAAACATAAAACATTCATATATTGCTCAGATTTTTAATAGGCCTTTATAAATATGGCCTTTAATAACCTCTACCTACTCAACAGACAGATGAGTTAACTTTTTTGGAGAAAAACATGTTTCCACTCCACAATTGTTGCTATTTTATGTTCACTATTCCATTCTCTCTTCCAGTCAACTTTATGAGCAGTACTATGTGTAAGGAAGCACAGTCTGAAAAATTAATCCCTTTTTCCTTCATCTCCAAATCCATTTACAATAAGGTTGCCAATTCTTAACTCACACTTAAAACAAAAGAAAAAAAGGAAACAAAAGAAAAACAAGTTGACAAAAAGTACTAAACATATTTACTATCTTTTAAATGTCTTTTAAAGGTTTCAAAGCAAGTTTCTTCAAATTATAATTTTCCTGATCAGTGAAAACTTTCTCCTCTGCACTTTCAGAACTTTTCAGAAAATTCTTGACTGAATCAATAAAGAATGGCAGATTAGGAAACACACCCTCAATTTTAACATTCCTGACTCATCTGGTGCACATAAGAAACTTCTTAATATTCAACATAATCTATGCAATTGTGATTTATAAAGTCAGAATTCTGGGATATAAACTCGTAGTTCTGTTTTTTTTTTCTATTTTTCTCGCAATTCTGACTTCTTTTCTCAGAATTGTGAGATATAAACTCACAATTGTGAGATATAGTCCAATTCTGAGGGAATTTTAATTTGTTTTTAACAATTGCGAGTTTATATCTTTTTTAACAATTGTGAGTTTATATCTCACAATTCTGACTTAGTAACTTGCAATTGCGTGTTATAAATTCAGAGCAGCGAGATATAAAAAAAGACATAAAAAAGTCCGAATTGTGAAATAAAAAGTCGCAATTACTTTTTTTTGTTATTATTATTCAGTGGCAGAAACAGGATTCTATAGTGAGCACTTACTTTGAAAAGGAATTTTTTTCATTTTACCAGGAAACTAAGAACCATCTCTAATTTTCCTTTTTTTTTTTTTTTTAAACATTATCTTTGAAAGAATTGTCATAGTCCATCTGGGTGCTAGTACCTTCTTTCTCCAATGTCTAGCTGTTGACTGTTTTCAACAGAGTCCTCTCTAACAGCTGAAAAAGGAGTCTGTGAAACCTCTTTATTTTCCTGTTTTGACCTTTTACTTTGTTCAAGTCTCTGAGCTCCTTGTGATTCTTTCTGTTTTGTTCCTTGAGAATCATCCGATTCATTGTTTTTGACCCTGAGATTTAATTGAGCTATTGTGTTTTCTTTTCTTTGAGATTTATTTGATTCATTCTTTGTTTGAACCTGAGATAAATTTTGTTCATTCTACTTTTGTCCCTGAGAATAGTTTGGTTCAATCTTTTTTTTTTTTTTTTCTGTCCTTGAGATTCATTTGATTCATTCTGTTTTTGTCCTTGAGGTTCAGTTGATTCTTTCGTTTTTTTTTTTTTTTTGTCTCTGAGATTTATTTAATTCATCTTGTTCTGCAGTCTCATTATTTGCATGCTATTTGCCTCGGCAGTAATTTTTTTCTGGGCAGGAACGTATGAGATGACCCCCCCATTCCACACCCAAAACATTAAATTTTTTTTGAGGTTGCATAAACGGTAAAGTCATAATCATCCATTCTGAGTTTAAAGTTAAACTTAAGAAATCACAACTGCCTCATAAAGATCACAACATTCTCATAAATTTTGTCTCTTATGCTTAGCGTTTAAAAAAGCATATTTTTCCAGGCTAGACCAGCCAATGTTCATGTGCAGTCCTCAGCATGTGTCTCAGGACACTGAATGTTTCTATAGCAACTGGAGCTTCTATCGTCAGTTGCAGTGACGCAAAGACTTTACCAATCAGTGACTGGCTCTTTTATTTATAAGGCGGGACTATTTCGCAATATAGCACGTTGGGCTTTCTCCCATAGTTGCTTGAGCACCCACACTTTGCCCCGCTAAACTAAGTCTATAGTGACAAGCACCCATGGAAAAACACAAGTAATTCTCCATTAACTTTAACCAATCAAAAACCTCTCTGACGTCTCACATGGTGTCGCTGTGGGTCGAAATGGTATCGCCTCATTCTGTGTAGTTTAAAAAAGTATATCAAACTCGATATACCGCCCAGCCTTATCAAGTGCATGGACAAAAACTGCAATCTTGAAATATTGAGTAATGAGACCAGTTATCATTTGCTCAACGGGTCATTTGAAAACAAAAGAAATATAACATGTTCACGAAGGGCCCTTCTACAAGGTTTTTAGTAAAATGTATGGACTATGGTTCTTGAAGGTAATAATCTGGACCCACCTTTATATTGTTTTTAATGTCTATGTACAGTACTTACATTTAAACTAATAATTTCCTACAATGCACTTATGGTGTACATACATGTTTTTACATTGTACTTATTTTTTCAAAAAGCTGCCTGTAATTAATTACATATGCAATTAATTTCTGTAGCTACATCTATAATTACAGTCAACTGTACTACTTTACAGTGTATATGGTATTATATGATATATATACTGCTATTTGTTATCATAATAATGTATTATCGTAATCATAAACACATTGATTTGTAGCACAAATAGTTTTTATTTAAGCCTCACTGTTTTTCTTTTTTCCCTGAGAGCCTGGCATCAAGGCTCCAACATTAACACTTGAATAAAAATTGGCTTCGGCAAGAAAATATACTTATTTTCCAGTTGGCTGATAATTTCAATATAACATATTGTCTAAATCAGGGGTGGGCAAACTTGGCCCATCCAGGTCACTTTCCTTCAGAGTTTAGCTCCAACTCTAATCAAACACACCTGAACCAGCTAGTCATTGTCTTCAAGACAACTAGAAAGCTACAGGCAGGTGAGTTTTATCAGGGTTGGATCAAATCTCTGCAGGAAAGTGGCCTGGAAGGGCCAGGTTTGCCCTTCACTGGTCTAAATCAAATTCTACGAATCATTATCTGACCCTGATTGATGTACAGTAAATGACATGAGTGATCCAAATAAAACTGTGTCCTTGAGAAAACATTATGCCACAACTGATGGCTCAGGTTTTTTTTAGACTCCATGTGGTGATGCATATGTTAAATATTCACATTAAGCCACCAAAGTGAATATATGAGGAACAAAATCACAATATGTCTTCATGTTTTTTAACAGGTGCAGTTTCACAGAGGGAGGGAGAATGACTCATGCTGCAAGTGACCTATAGCCTGAGCTTTTTCACAGCATAGGAAATAAAAAATAATAATAATAATAATAAATTATAATTTTAACTCACCAACTAACTATTTAAAAAAAAACAACTTCTGGTATTTTTATGACCACCCAAGATTAGTTTTACAAGTCCATAATAGCGAGGTGAGGAGGACCGTGCTCCATGATACAAACCATTTCTAAACTAGATTATAGGCCTAAAACAGCAGCACAGTTTTATTCATATACACTGTCTGGATTAATAATCTGTGTAAAATAGATAAATAGTGAATAACTAAATGCTGTTGCGCTTGCTTAAAGAACTTATGAAATAATATTTATTAATTCACTTATTGTGGCTTTAGTTCATCCCCCTCAGCGTTGAGGCCAACAATATTGTAGTGTACTATTTCACATACACTTTGCACTTTTGCCATTTGTGTGTGTGTGTCTGTGTGTGATTTGGACAAGGATATGTTAATGGAAAAGAGCTGCATGAAAATAACCTGGGTTCTCAGGTTTTGGAACAACATGAAGAGTTGTGAAATAATAACACAATATTGGTTGTGAACTGTTACTTCAATTGGTTATGCTCTGCCAAAGGGTCACCATATCCTTCATCTAACTGCTTCAAGACTAGGGATGGCTGTATCGATAATGAAGCATCGATATATTGATACTGATGTGAGTATACTCAAATAAAAAAATATTGATACTAAGGTTTTTTTTTTTTTTTTAAACTAGCGATTTTGTTAATTTAACAAGGAAACTGTGTAGGATAGAACTGTTTTCCTGCTTATCGGAACACACGCAAATGCTGCAAAACATAACAAATCGATCACAGAAAGCGTTCACTCACTGCTGACACTATATTCAAACAGGCCAGCTTTTCCCAAATGTATCATAAGAAACCATTGATCCTTTTGGGAAATGCAGCCCAGAATTTTTCTCTTTTTTTCTTTTTTTCACCAGAGGACAGAAATACATGATATGTTTGAATTATTTCACAAGAAACAAACTGAAATTGTAATCTATAGTTGTGCACTTACATTTATGTAATTCATATTGATCATGTTCTATTCTGTAATGTCAATATAAATCATACACCGTCAGAATAAAAAGATTGCATTTTATGGGTGCAACAGCCTGTCACTGGCAGTCCCTTATGAAAAGGAACAATTTCCATGGTTACCACTACAGTAAACATATTTTAACCACGTGTAAACAAAAATAAAATATAATTAATTACAATTAACGCATATTGAATGTTTAAATGCATTTCAAATATAATTAAGTGGGTATCATTACCTATTTTACTTTTAATAATTTTAATAAATTTAATAATTTAAAAGTTCAGTTTGGGGGTATCGGTATCAATATCGAAGATACTGGCCTTTGAAAGTATCGGCATCGTATCGAAAACAAAGTTAGTGGTATTGCCCATCCCTATTCGAAACGATCAGCGATGTATTTAAACCTCCTCCGAGCGGGAAATTTGTCGCCATCCAGCACCAATCTGCTAGTGAGGGAAGGAGGGGGCGGGAAGGTTCGTTTGAGGAGGGCAGGCTTTCCAACGTTACTAGCGCTCCTCCACTACCCGCATTTCAGCATCTGAGGCAAATACTTCAAAATTCACCCATTGGACATGAAATAATTTACTGGAAAATAAGTGGAGAGACAGAGGAGGGAATCAGCTGCCAGAGCTCAGAAAGTGTCTGAAGTCCGTCGGAAGAAAAAAGGATTTATCTCTGGTGAGGTACATTTCATATTATAATGACTGAATGATGCGTAAAATGCGTGTCATATAGATTTGAAGACAGGGAAACGACGTTAAAGACATGTCTTTGTAAAATCCCGCAGTGTTTTATTCACGAGTAAGTGTGTTTTTGAGAGGAACACTTCATTTGTTTTAAGGTTTAACAGGTCTCTTCTCGCCACAGCTGACTACAGACACACTGAGGTGAACCTGACCAGGAGTGAGAGCTTATCACGGCCAAGACTGACGACTGTTACTTTGAGAGGATATCACTTCAATATTTTTTACAGATATTCCATTTTCCCATTCATTAAGATCAATTTTCAGTCACGCTGTCGATCGGTAGCTATTTTATTCACACTGTTGAATATACTGATGATGCGACATACGCTTTTGTTTTACTGAGGTAAAAGTAACCGTGTAACTGTGAGTTGTACGTTTTATAGTCGTCTATTATACTAAAGGAAAATGTGAAAGAAAATTGATTACTCTTGTAATAACGTATAATCTTGAATGAAAACTTACTACATACTTCAAGATTATTTCCGTACAAAATGTACACCGTGTTATCTGGGTAGGAATGTGCTATTGTCGTCATACTCGGAACTAAAATATTCTGAAATATTGTAATATTCCTATGAATAAATTCAGTGTTTAAAAAAAAATACAGCTTATCCTTGGAAATTCGATCGATCAGATCCCAGTGTGTTAGAGATTACACTTGGGTTGCGCGTGCGTTTGCGGTAGTTTGTTCCGTCTGCTGGTTTTCATATCGTGACAATTAATTTTAGTCAATGTATAGCCTATTATGGTCTTCATGGAGTTACTTTGTTTATGAGCACAACAGTAATGCGCTTATGCAACCGGTTTGTAATGCTAGTGAGCTTGCTTTCAAATAGGCGGAAGACGTGTGACTGTTTATTAAAAGAGAGCAAGAGAGAGAGAGAGGGTGGGGGTTAGTGCGCAAATAAGCGCCTTGGGTATGTATGAATATACTTTTTTTTATGTAGCTACTGTAGGTTCTGCATTTACACCGTGCTTATAAAAACGTTCAAGGAATATTTACCCCCCCCCCTTTTCCCCCCCCCCCCCACCACCACGTAAATAAATAATAATAATAACATTAAATAAATAAATAAATGATCTGTCATTATTTTGTCACTATGTCGTTCTCAACTTTCAACCCTACACAGGTCAAACGGTTTGGAATGCAGATTGATGGATGTTGTTCCATTTTTTATTTATTTTTTGCTGTGAACCAAGCAGCATATTCTAAATAGCCTGATGCCATATCATAGGTGTTTGTGAGGAACAAAATGAAAATGTAAAATTATTACTCTTTGCAGTGTTTAAACCTCATTCACACTTGCAAGTCCAAATGAGTTTCATTGTGAATGGTCATTAGACATGTTAGCACCAGTGATGTTCAACATGTTTATGACATGCCATGTTTGACGAAAGTGAGATTTATTTATTTTTTTTATGGGTCTTTTGGCTTTAATTTGATACGTGTAGAAGTGACAGAGACTGGAGAAATTCAAGCTTAGGTCCCCCATACAGTGTCATTTTCAGTGAATGTGCATTACATAAGAGTTTGGTGGAGGATTTGGAGAGGACGATGTTCACTGAAAAAAAAAGATTTACATTTCATTTTTTTCTTCACAAAGTTGAAGGATGTTGAATATAGCAAATATCTACTTTATTGATAATTAAAGGTCATTTTGAGAGCTCAAAAGGCCTTGTTCCCATTCACATGGATTAGAGCAGCATGATTTTGTGAAACATCTGTGTTTTACAGAAGAAAGAAAGCAATATAGGTTTGGAACTAGAGCTGGGTAACTACCTCACGATAAACATTGGCAATACATTCGTCATGATTCAATACATTTTGATACAGAATTATAAAATAATTGATAACAAAATGATCAAGAAAGAGAGTGAAATTAAGCAAGAGAGACACATCATGTCCGTAAGAGAAAGAGTGGCTCTTTTGGTTCATTTTCAATCCTGTGTCTTATGGAAGCAGCTCTGCTTTTATCGTTGGCTCTTATTTAGACAAATGACCACTTCATTATTGAACTTTACACCTGGCCACATAAATGTTTCATTTGTGACAGTTTGTGCATCTGTTTTCTGAAGAGACATGCTTATCTCCAGCAGGCTATATCTGTGGAAATGCTTGTTGCAGTAGCACTGTGGTAGTTTACTATGGGGAGCCGGTATAACACACTCTCACGCTTTTATTTATTTACACAGTGGGCAGAGAAAAGAATCACCCCTCTTTAAAGCAATCACATTTTGTTGCTTTGCAGCCTGAAATGAAGACAGACACAGTTTTTGTTTTAACCAGCTGTATTTACTCAGTGCAACTTATATCATCCAAGTGAAATATATAACACCAACATATCAGGGGGAAAAAAACACTGAGTTGGAAAAAGGATCACCCCCTTGTGTCAGTATTTTGTTGAACCACCTTCTGATTTAATTACAGCCTTTAGTCTGCTGGGATTTGTCTCTACTAACTTTGCACATCTAGACTTTGCAATATTTGCCCAGTCTTCTTTGCAGAACTGCTCAAGTGCAGTTAAATTTTTGATGGTGACCATTTGTGGACTGCAGTTTTCAAGTCGTTCCAAAGATTTTCAATGAGGTTTAAGTCTGGACTCTGGCTAGGCCATGCAAGGACATTCACCTTTTTCCTCTTCCAACCACTGTGTGCTCAGTTCTGCTGTGTGCTTTGGGTCATTGTCATCTTGGAAGGTAAACCTTTTTCCCCCATTCACAACTTTCTGGCAGAGGGCAGCAGATTTTCCTCAAGAATTTTATGATATTTTTCCACATCCATTTTTCTTTCTATCCTGACAAGTGCTTCAGTCCCTGCTGCAGAGAAACACCCCATAACAGGATGTTACCGATGCTTTACTCCATGCTTTACTGGAGGAATGCTGTTATTTGGATGGTGAGCTGTACTGGATTTCCACCAGACATATCATTTGGTATCGAGGCCAAATAACAAAATTTTAGTCTCATCTGCCTCAGATTCTTAAAGGTGTGTTTTGGCAAAGCTCAGTCGTGACTGGATGTGGCCTTTCTGTAATCCTCCTATACAAGCCACATTTGTGGAGAATGTGTGATATTGTTGTCACATGCACACAATGACCACTCTTTGTCATAAATTCCTGTAACTGCTTCAGAGTTGCTGTAGGCCTTTTGGTGGCCTCTCTGACCAGCTTCCTCCTGGCTCTTTCTTCCAGTTTGGAGCGACGTCCTGATCCAGGGGGGGTCTGTCTTGTACCAAATACCTTCCACTTCTTAATGGACTTCACTTTTAGGCATTGATAAAGCCTTTGAAATCACTTGACTCGTGCTTGTCCACAACTTTATCCCGGAGATCTTTTGATGGGTGTCCACAGTTGATTGTTTGTTTCAGTAGCCTGAAATGTTCCAGGAAAGCTCTTTTCATGCTGAGCTAATCAAAATGACTACAGCTGATCACAGTTGAAAGTCAAATGGCTTTGTGTGCCATTGAGAAAGTGATGAGCTACACCTGATTGAGAGTCACTTTTAGTTGGGGGGTGATCTTTTTTCCATCTCTTTATTTTTTCCAACTGATTTTGTTTATTGATTTACTTATTTATTTATAACTGTGTCCATCTCAATTTCAGGCTGTAAAGCAACAAAATGTGATTATTTTAAATAATGCTCACTGTATTTTTATTGTTTTGGAGTCTGCTGTGTCGAAATTCACATCATTTAAAATTTTTTGAGTGAACTATGCCTTTAGAAAAACAGAAACTATGTTTAAACTTTTTTATATAAATAGTTGAACAGTAAGATACATTAACTCATATAGAATTGCTTGTGGTGTATATCCCAACCCTTGAGAGACAAAGCATACAGCTGTGAAATGGCCTAGAACAGTTTGAAAACCACATTAAATATGTGAAGACCATAGCCCAGATATCTTGGCAAGGCCATGGTAATGAGGGCAGTGGTAGATATGAAACATGGCAGGTTAAGTGCTGAAAGCTGAAGGTCTGTGAGCTCCAGAAGACTCCTCCCTCAAGGGAGCCATTTTCAGCTAGCTTGTGAGCTCTGCTCAGGCCAGAGTTACAATTATAGCTCCAAATGCAGTGCTCAAAGCAAGAAAATAAACCCACTTTCAGCACTTCTGCAAAACTGAGAGCAGTGGGCAAGAATTTATATCTGCTCTCTCTCACTCTTTCTCTCTCTAGCTTTGGTTCTACTAACTTCAAGGAAAGATTAATGCTGTACATTAGCAATTCACTTTAAAGGAATGGTGCCAAAGTAATTAAAGCTACTGGGGGGAATTATTAGTTTGTGCTGTTGTTTGTCAAAACCCTCCATTATTCCTAACTTTTAAAACTGGCTTCTATCCCCAAGATATCAAAAGTACTTGTCCTTTTTCAGGCAACAGAAATTTTCATATTAAAATGGAATTCATTTATATATTTATTTATTCATAAGGTTGGAGGCAGATAATGTTATTTTATAATTTTAGACCCTCTTTGACTCTGATATTTGTCCACCTGTTTTAATCTAAATGAGCCATGACTCATCTACCGTGGAGTTGCAGGGTTTTGCTATTAACCTTGCCCTACCCTTTACACCTTGTGTTCAGTATCACATAGGCAGAGCGGGGCATATAACAAGACGACTTCTTAACTGTGACTGTCTCTAAACAGACTTTTTACCATTACTTCAATCTTTCAAGTGCTTGGAGCTCAGAGCCTCTTTTTTTAGTGGGCGGCTATGCTGGAAAGAAGTGAAAAATCCAGATTTACACGTCAAACTGGGATGGCTGAAGAAAAGCACTGCCTTTTTTCTAACACTGAAAAATGTGTCTGAGCTCTCCAAATCCTAAGTATTTGGTATTCCTAGATGACTCAGCAGTTTTTACACCTCTGAAGTAGGATTATTTGACAATCCCCACGGAAATTTGCATGTGGTCAGCATGCAGGAGGAAAACACAGG